TTCCGCGATCTTTGCATTTCTTCTCTCATCTTCATGATCCCTTGCACCTTCAATTTCCTCTCCCTGGTATTCCACCATTTGAAGTTGTGCTCCTTCGTAGACAGATCTTTCTCTTCCTTTTCAAGGCTTATATCGGCTTTCATTTCCGTTCTTAATTCTTCTCTCTCGCCCCAGAATCTCTTCACTTCGCCATTCTTGAAGACGATGTTGTTATCCTCCACGAATTTGTCCATGTCAGCGCAGAACTCCTTCATGTCCTCTCTGATGCTGCTCAGCTGACTGCTCAAAGGATGCGGATCGTCTCTTCTTCGGTAATTATCCAAAATATCTTTACGAGAAGCTTGATCGTTGACGGCGCTCGCGATGTTCCCTTCCTTATTCTTCTCCGCGTCAGTCCTGTCAAAAATGTTGACAGAATCCAGGGAACTTTTGGACGTTCCTTCAGCTGAAACGTGAACAGGGCATTAGCAGTCGCTTCTCTTTAGCCAGAGCGCGTAAGAAGAGCATGCTCGAAACATTTTGTAAGTTTCAACCGAGTGTTTTTTGTCGCGGTAATCGTGTTCGAAATTGGTGTGTAATTTACTATCGTTCTTCCCCTGCTTGCAGCAAGGTAGAGTAATTTCGGTCTCGTTGGTCGTCTCCGGGACAAGTTTCTCGTAATGGGCCAGAGCACAGCTACCTAGTGGACCGTCGTCATTTCGTCTCTCGTCCAAAATTTTCTTCCCGGTCATCTTCCCTCCTGCGTCCTCTGACAGGTATTCCTTCGACCCTTCTATCACTTCTACCAACCGTTTTGGCTCCTTGCACGACGACGCCTTCGAAACGAGGATGAAAGTTTGCGATCAGTTCAAATGTAATGCACATTTACGAGGTATTAGAAATTTCGAGCTTCGACGTTTGACGTTAACACCTCGACACGGAGACTGTCATGGTGGCTTCGGTGAAAGATAGCCAAAAATAGGAAATCCTTTCAGCCGCTTTATCTTATACGTTTTGACCAATATTTAATAATTTTGTCACCCGTGGTACTTACGTTTAATTCCGTGTTATATTATTTCTTTAAATTATACGTGGAATTTAAGGGTATTGACAGAAGATGACAGAATATTGCGAGGTATAAATTAATTCGTAGTGGACCAGACCAATTGGTCAACGCGTTAAACGCATTGGTCATAGCCTGGCTGTCGAAGAAAGGATTCAGTGATAGTCGACAGCGTGGAATAGATAATAAAAATACCTCGGTTTTCCAGGGAAACAAAATTTCCTTGCCAATATCGCCGCAGGCTTTTCTTCCTTCCTCCGCCATTGGCCTCCTTCCGTCACTTTTCTCGATTCCTTTTTGCCCCGTTCCATCATCCTCCTCGGCGTTCTCCACCTCTTCGTCCGATGACGAGGACGCGGAGGAACTGTTGGAGGATGAGGTGCCCGACTTTTTCTTCTTCTCCAGCTTGAGCTTGAACGTTCATCAGGCCGGCATAAGGGGTTTCGCGTGGTGAATGATCAAATAGTGGATGGGACCGATGGGTGATATTATTCGAAGTACGAATTCTGTATCAGACCTTGACAAAACTAGTTCTTACCAGTTCGCTGCTCGTGCAGACAAGCGTGGTCGTGGCTACTTCTTCGTCCTCCTTCGTCTTCTTCTTATCCTCCGCCTCCTTTTCGGACGTCCCGACCGGTTTGCACAGCTTCCTTTTGTTTATCAGGGCTTTCGAGGGCGGGCGCAGGTCCACAAGTAAACAGAGATCGAGCGGATAACAGATTAGATCGATTTCCAGCTCGCTGGGATACTCTACGCGATCGTTTCTTGCTAAACCCTGCCAACTTTTCTGTCAACATCGGACTTTGACAACCGAGAGTTTCGCGGGACGAATTCTGCGCGGCTGCCTTCTATTACTCGATGGATAAAAGTCACCGCGAGGTTCGGTTAGTTAGTCAGCTCGAAGTATTTATTCAACGTCGTTACTTTCAAAAGAAAAAGCGCGAAGATAATGGTCGAGTGCTCGGGGTTCGGAAAGCAACTTTCGTGCAGAAATGAAAAAGTGCGAAAAAATCGAGAGCGACCGTTTCGTTCAGGAGCCAAACGAGTCCTATACATCATCTACCTTTCGATTTTTACTCACCTTGCACGCTATCATTGATTTTCTTCTGCTCCGCCTCGATCCAGCGTTTCCTCTCAGCTGCTTCTTCTTCGGGTCCTCCTCGCATCCTGTCTTCGTAACAGTTTCGTTAGCTTGTAACACTACTTCCACTCTGATATTAACCGTCTATATTTCGTTTCTCCGTAAAAATAATTTCCACAATTTTCTCCAACTCCACGCGATATATATACAAAAAAAAAAAAAGAAGAAGAAAAATAACAGCCGATAATTACCGATTGCGAGTTAATCGTGACTTACCAAGCTTCGGCACAGGCGCGGTCTCTCGGAAACACAGGTCTGTCATCCAGGTACCTGAGGTTTTTACATTTCAATATCATAGTCTTACGATACAGCCTGATCATCCTCAGGACAGGGTTTCCCATCAGGGTCACCACGCGTAGTTCTCTCATGTCACCCAGGATCTGTGAGAAAAGCTTGGCTATTCTCCGTAAAATTGAAATATAGTTATCGTAATTAGCTTAAAAATCGTGGTTCACCTCGTTTCGTCCTATACCTCGCGAATCTCGCGCGATACGTAAACGAGGCCGAAATTCCAGCGTTCACTCGCGCTTGCCCAACCCGCGTTATGTATTTCGAATATCGAAAAATACGCGACACCGCTTGTTACAAAACACGCGACCACTTTCGTAAAACGTTAAATTACATCACTCGCGTCCCGAACACCTGAAGCAGCCGTCGAAGTGACGCCAGAGGCACACTATTAAGGAGAAACATAACGGACTCACATTAACGACTTCGTCGCTGTCTATCCTGTTGTGAGAAATATCCAGTACCGAGAGGCTGTCCAGCAATCGGAGATGCTCAATGTCAGCGGTATCTTGTAAGTAGTTGTGCGACAGGTTTAGAGTATTCAGGAACTTGAGGCTATCTGAAAGCAGAGGCACGTCAAGGTCAAGGTCATCAAGGATACCCGCGTCGACTCGAGTCACCGAGATTCTCAATCCTTCGTATCATGTTGTGCGAGAGGTTCAGAGTGTCGAGCTTCGTCTGGTACCCGAGGTTCTCGATTTTGCTGATCAAATTGCTCTGAAGGTACAGGCACTTCAGCTCGCTCTGATTCTCCAGATTCGCGATCTCCCGGATCCCGTTGTTCTCCAGCCACAGGCACTTCAGGCCCGTATACTTCTCCAGGTTCTCGATGAAAGAGAAACCTGGAAAGGGAAACTTTCCGATATTGGGAAACAGATATTCCGATTTTTTTCTCTTTTCATCCCTATTTTTTCCTTTTCATCTCATTTTCAAGTTTTCACGTTTTCGAGTTTATCTCGTGTTTCGTTGATTAGTTAATTTTGCTGCGAAAACGACGCGATAAAGTGGTACTTTGACAGCGAAACGTATTTTATTGCGAATTTATAACAGTTTTCAGGGTACAATGTGGAAAGGTAGGATTCGAAACGGTTTCGCCAAGAGACCCCTAATTTTTAGTTACTCGCGAGCTACTCGCGTAGAAATTAACCTTTGTAATGAAGATACAGCACGTCGTTCAGGTAGGGCGTCTGATAAAGTTTGTTCTCCTTGCAGTGCTTCTTCAAAAGCTGTTCGGTCATTCTGGAATCAGACACCGTTTACTTTACCAAACGTAAAATCGCTGTACCCTAAAAATGTCGATACGAATGTAGCAACGAATTGCATCGCGCCTGCGACTCTACCTGACGCCATGTTTCTTCTCGTCGAAGTCGTAAACCTTTCCCTTGATGTACGTTCTCTCCGGTTCTTTGCCTAATTGCCAAAAAATCGAGTCCTCCGTGTCGTCTATGATACTTTGAACTATTCCTTTGACCGTTTCCTTGTTTGCTGGCTCCTCGTCGATATCCTCTTTCGAAGCCTGTGACCCGTCAACGGCACCGGTGTCAAACTGCATTTTCTCCCTAACCTCTGTCAAACTTTGTTCAACCTTCGACCCAGCCTCGTCCCGAATAGCTTCCTCTTCCTCTGCTTCTGGGCTCTTAGGTATGATCTGAAGACACTCCTGCAGCAGCTCTGCTCGACGTCTCTCCTCGTCTTGCGCGTCCTTTCGAGTAGTCTTGAGTTTGAAACTCTCAGTCACCTGATCCTTCGTCAGTGGCATCGCGATACCTTCGACCTTTTCCTTCGCCTCGTCCAGGCTTTCGTCGGATTCGCTTTTGTAGCCCTCGACAGGCTTCGTCTCTGCGACGAGCTTCTCGATCTCGTTAAATTCCGCTGACAGATCCTTCAGCGCTTCGTTCTTCCTGTTCTCTATCTCTGCCTTGCCCTCAGCGATCTTCTTCAGCGTCTCTCGAGCCTCTTCCTCGGTCCTCGGGCAATCGGATTCCGTGATTTCCGCCAATTTCTCCAGGTACTCTTCCGGAGAGCTCGGCTCGACGAGCTTCGATTCTTTTCCTTGATCCGAGCACGTATTTTCTGAGATATCCCTCGTTGGATCCTCTTCCAGCCTCGTTTCTCGTGAGCATTGCTCCTGTGCATCTGTCGTCGTTATTTTCTTGTCCGTTTCTACAGGCTCTTTCACGATTTCCTCCAGAGTTAACGACTCTTTGCTAGAAACTGTCAAATTTGGCTCGTCCAAAGTGGCCTCGAACTTTGGCTCCCTCATACTGTCCCTGAACTTGAAGTAGGCGGAGATGTTCACGTTGGGCGAGGAGTATACTAAATTTTCCTCGTTTTCTTCCTCTGAATCGCTCGAGAAATCCACATTCTCCGACATCTTCAACTCCTCTGTCGTTTCTTCGATCGTTACTCTACTCGGAGCAACGTTGACACCGTCTTGGTTCGATACTTCGCTATCCCGAGGCTTCTCTAATTCTTCGTCACCTCTAATGACATCTCTGTCACGTTGGTCATCGACAGTTTGATTCTCCGAGTCGCGAAAAGGAATGCTTTTATCTTGATTCTCATCCCCGTCTGTCAAAGTCTCTACGGGTACGTACTCGGAGATGCTCGGTCGAGCGTGACTTATTATTTCGGTCGTGCAAATCTTGTCAGAAATCACAGGATCGTCGTCCGCGAATCGATCTAGCTTGTCGAGCTTCCTGCCATAGACCTCTTCGAACGACCGTTGACAATAAGAATTGGAACAGCAGTCGTTCTCGTCCAGGAGCAAAGCTTCGCCTTCTTCGGCGTCGTCGAAGTTCAAGGTGTCGTCCAAGTCGCTGTCACTATCCTTCTCGGCTTTGGTCGAGTTGTAATACGACAGATTTTCACAGGTCACGTCGAAGATCGCGCTGCAGTCGTAGTATGACAGCCAGTTGCAGTCATCTTCGTTCTCCACTTCTGGGATGGACTCTGGCGTGGATTTAATATCCGATGCCTGTGCCTCTGAGGTGCACTCGTTCCTCTGTAATTCCACGTACATCTTCGTGTAAACGTCCGACGACGAAGTGGAGAGGACATCGAAGTCCACCGACGAATCTTTCGGTATCTTTGACAGAAAGAAAAGGAAAAGGGAAATTGAATTTTCTGAAACAAGGAATGATTCTATGAGTGATTACTGGGTCGATGAAATTGACAACTAGAGAATAAAAGGAAGGCAAATGACACGCGAAAGTTAACCTATGATTCTTATAATACGAACATGTGCTTCGTGCAAAAATTAAACGAAGGTAATTTTAGCTGATGGAGGATCCATTATGGGAAGAGATTCTAACCGATTTCTTAATTTCTGTTTCCGACAAATGGGCACTACTTGCTGCAGCGTCGAGCCTGGCCTCGGTGGAGAGTTTCTTCTCTACGAAGGCGGTCTGGAAATCGCACTCCTCTTGCATCCTGTCACGTCTTCTGGAAGCTAATAACACGACGCAGAAGCTGAATCCTCCGTAAGTTTGTTAAAAGTTTGTCAAAGCGTCTTTCAACATGACTCCTCGGAAATACAAGAAACTCGCCTTAACAGCACTTGTTGCCTAGGTTTCGTTTGATCGATATTGCTTCCGACGTTTCTCGCGGTCCAAACTGTTGCGTCCTGAATTTGTCGAAAAGTGGGTATCGATATAATGATTAAACATTTACTTTATCCTAATTTTATAATTTAAGAATATTTAACTTCCAAAACGTTTGCTTACTTACTTTACTTACTTGCTCAGCGAAGTATCCGTTTGTACATTTTTATATAAACGATGGGAAAGATAAATCTTTCGTCTTAGTGGGTCTGATTCGAGATTTCAGAAATTATTCAACGAAGACCAATTAAAAGTGAAAATTACGGGACAAAGCGTAACACAGCGATCGATCCGAGGAGAGATCGATGGAATCGGATGACCCGCGAAGTTTCCGCGACTTTGCCTGGCAAAGCTACTTCTGAGACCAAAATAGTCCTATCGCGAAGGGCCATGGATTGTTATCTAGTTTATAGGGTATCGCGATCTCGTATCTATTCCTCGGGCACATCGTTTTACTTTTGTTGCGTCTGGTTGCCCCCCGATGGCACTTGTTTTCCCACTCGGTTCCAGGCCGAGCCGCCGATGATGTTCGAGAATGAATGCTATCAACATAATTCAACGGAAAAGGCTCAACGCCGATTCGCAGGCGTCGCGACGAATCGGGATCGATGGAAACGGGAAATCGGCTCCGGCCGCGAGGCTTTCAGCTAGTCGACCCGCATCCTCTTTTTTCCTTCAAGGCGATTCCCGGTCGTCTACTTACCAAGACATGTCTTTCTGCGCAGCTAGCCTAAGTCCGAGTCCTCTTTGCCTCTTTCCACCCCGTTCGTAGGGATTTCGCTTCTATTCCGCGTCTCCAATCGTTCTCTAATCTTTCCCTGTGTTTACTTCCTTGGTGAGCTAACTCACCCTCGATACTTGTCATTCGACTGAGACACGACCCCGTTTTATCATCCTCCCTTCTCTTCGTCAGACGTTCCAATTAGAGGGATCGTCACTGTCTTTCTTGTCGATGGAAATTTTAATTGTATCGAATATTATATTAGATGACACTCTTACAATTATCGAACATGGTTGCAAGACCCGAGGGTCCTTACTCGATGGACTATTCGAAAATTAGCCGTAAAAGTGAAACAGGGCTCCCCTCGGTAGCTTCCTGGGTGAGAGACAGCGATGGGATCACTTCACAGTCGCACGATGTGTATGATGCTTCGTGTATAGCCAGGTAAAAAGCGCGTGTTCATCATCGAAAATATTTTGAAACGGTTGGAAAGCAGGAGAATTCTATGTGTCATCGTGTACATACGATGCATACGAGATTTCGTTCTTGCGGCGGCAGGTAGATAACTCGCCACAGGGTCGACGGAAACGGGAAATTGCACCACAGCTCCATATTCGAAGCATCCCTCCTTTTTCTCAGACGCGCCTTCCTGCGCAGTTTTCTTCGCCGCCTGCCGCCGCTATCTCGTAGCGTGTGGAAATTAGATGGCCGGCGTTAGATTGTATGCAATCGAACCAGTGACATCTATTCGGAACCTTCCGCAGAGTCGATCGGTCTCGTTACACCTTTTCATAATATCCAATGGACAGTTGGACTCGCCACGTCTGGTCTCTATCGTTAACCTGTCCAGCTGTCATCTATCTCAATCGGATTTCGTCGAAATCCAGCGTCTTTGACGTAAAGTTTGACAGCGTTTTCCCCTCGAGCAGGTCGAATTTCGCGCGCTCGTCGAAAAGAAATTGGACGCAGCCGCGAGACAATGGCGATGGACAAAATGGAACGGCGTCGCGTGCCGACAAAATGGCTCCGCGAATAATCGCGTGAATGTTATGGCTACTCGTTCGGAATATGGCACGCGTGACTAAATTCCGATCGTGGTTAATGACGGTGCACATACGGTAGATAAAGTTTCGGGTAAGTTTAAGGTCTGCTGACACAAAAGGCTGAGAGGATTACAAGGAAGTAACACGTGTACTTGACGCCGCGTAATCGGACGCTTTTGCTTCTGACGATAGTAATGTGAGTGATATCAGGTTTTCGGCGTATCGATATTGCGTAACGCGTGGTCGGCCATAATTAAAGGAATCGAGGGAGTCACGCGACGTTCTGCGAAGAATGACCTTGCCGATCGGTTGTGAATTCGTTCGAATTTTGACAGAGGTTCGTCTAAACGCTGTCAAAGGTACCGGCGGATGAGATGACAGTATATAGGGATCGTGTGAGGATTTTCGTCACGGCAAAGCGATTCGATGACTGGAAAACAATTTTGAATCGCGTCTATCAGCTTGCATGAGCCGACGCGTGACCATGACCTCGACGATCAAGCGTCCAGCATATCTAAACCGAGTTCACCTAGCTTTCGATCACTTTTTCCCGACTTTGCATCTGTTCCAACGCGACGTCCACGTTTCCATCCATGTAGCCAAGGATGACCCGGTGGCCTCAGGAACCGGAAAAAGGAACCTTCACCGCGACGTTCCCATTAGGATGATGTTCCGTCGAGGTTGACACCCGGTGATCATTCGACCTTCGTCGGAAGATGATTAGCGCGTGGAATAACGGCGGAAGATTCGACACTCGAGGCAGCTGTTGAATTATTGAAGCACCCAGCGAGGGAGAAAGAGAACTAAGAGGATTAAAAGCCTAGAGACAGATTAGAATTTCAAGAGGTGAAGCGATAAAAATATTCAACCGGTGGTTAAATTTACTTTTCGATCGATATCGTTGCGACCTTGATTTCGAGGATCGATCTCATTGGCGGATCCCACCGATGTTCCGTCCATTTCCGTTCTGCCAGATGATCAACCGAAAACGCGACGACAGGAAGCCTCGAAGGTTTCGTTATCCATCCGACGTGAATCCTGTTGCGCAACGGAATTAATCTCATCGATTAACTCGTCACGTTCATTATCCTCGATCCATCCTTTCATTCGTTACTTTCCTCAAACCTTGACAGATCCGTCGATATTTCGAAAAATCCTCGTTCGGACAGGTTCGAAGGAATCACGGCGACGAAACGGTCCCAGAAATGGTACGTTCAAGCTAACGTTTTTTCGAGGCGACTAAATTTGACGTCTGCGAGACACCTCGTGACCATGACCTCGAGGATCGCCCATCACGCGCACCGAGATCCCCGTTTTGTGTACCAACAGGCAGAGATCGAGACGGACGTTCGATCGAGCAACTCGCACCGATCACGATTCGAATGCATTATGTAATTGACGGCTTCCGTTTTCTTCCTCCATCATGGCTGGCTGTCGTCGTCTCTCTCGGCCACGCTTGTCTCCCCCTGCTGGATTTTTGAAAAGCAAAACAGCTGTGGGTGGCCGGCTACTTCTGCCTTGAGAATTAAGGATCGCGCGTCTAGGATGGAGGAGGCGGAATCGGATTTGAATACGCTTTGAATCCGCTATCGGCCGTGAACATATTCCCCTCGATCGTAATTCGTCGATTCGAAGAGATCATAGAGAGAGGATCCACGCTGTCACGGGTGTCGAGCTGGCTATATTAAAATCCGATCGCCTGTCAGCTGATTGCCCGCCCTGCATCCCGTCATCCATCACGCTTTCGGATGCCATCTCGATCTCGACGGGGTAAATCGATTCTTAATTACTCCCATCTATTCTCCGAACGATATTACACTGCAGATTGAAGGATCTATAGATCGGATATACTATGCAGATACTGCTGTTACGTACTTGCAAGATTAATTACAATTAATGACAATGACAGCGTAAAATTAATGGAAAAAGGTGTCAATTGCGCGAGGAAATTTAATTTCGATCTCGATCGAAGTGGTAAAGCAAGAGTTTTTGAAATTCGAGCTGTTTATACGAAAGTGTCTAATGAATATAGCTAGACAGTGTCAAAAGGGTTACGAGATTTATTCCGTGGCAATGAAAATGGGTTCCCTACGGATCGTCAGGCGCGTTCGAATTTTGATTTTGCAACGAAAAATTGAGCAATTCTATCGATCGATCGGCGCGCAAGGTGTGCCGGGTAAAGGAAGCCGCTGTTTCCTTTCGCCTCGATCTGATGCAACGAAGTTTTACGATCGGATGCCTGGGGAACCGAAAAGCTCGAAGGCGTGCACGTGTACCGAAGACAACTATATCGAAGATACGTTGCGGGGTACGTGAAGCAGCATGACGAAAAAGGCAATTAGCAAGTATAATCAGTCGTCAGCTGACCTATGACAACGTAACCCTGTCATCATTCTAAGGGCATGGCGCAATTGGGTATAAATTATCGTCCATCCACACGCGTGTCAGATCACGATCGAGCTGCCGATCAGCAAGTATAATCGGCTGTCAGCCGACCTATGACAACGTGTCATCCGAAAGAAAAATTCGTCAACTTTGCTGACTGAGGGAAGCTGCCTGTCAAAATTCCACGGGATCCTGAGATTTCGCGTGGCCATGTTTACGCAACGGATATCACGGATACGAGTTTCGTCGATTTTCTGAGATGCGCAATGCTGGGTTGGAAGACGTGATTGCTCGAGATCATGGACGCCGAGGGATAGTTATACGTTCCCGGCCGATC